AGCAGTGGTGGGTACTTGCATCGCCCCCACCTGGGTGCAGCTGCTGCTGGTGATGGATTTGATGAGGCCCCGTGGAATGGGACATTGCTGGTAGCTGAAGCAGCAGGAGGTGGGGACACTGTCTGTGAGGTCAGGGAAACAGAGAGCCCTGGGGAGACCCCAGGCTACAGCACAGGCTCTGGGCGCACCGGTGCTCAGGGTTCCCCAGGGATTTGCCATTTCCCAGCCCCCTCCCTGTATCATATTCACTGGTGGTGGCCCACCAGGAGAGCCCTGGCCCCAAGCCTGAGTCTCAGCATTGGTGGTGGTCTCCTGCTCCCAGCCCTCCCCACAGCCACAAGGGTCCCTGCTGATGGGGATGGGGCTCTCTGGTTGCCCCAGCAGCTCCCATGGAGTGATGGCACACCGAGGCCCAGGGAGGATGCAGTGATGTCCAGCAAGATGGGCCTCAGACAGGTAGAAAGTGGCCACAAGGAGGAGGGTGACCAGGGTGGCTGTGGGGACCTTCATGGTGCTGTGGAGACCTTCATGGTGCTGTGGGGGCCAAGGGAAGGGTGAGCAGGGCTGGAGCTGGGGGGCTGCAGGGCTCTCGTCTGCCCGACGCTCAGCCCCTGGGGCGATGCCCTTGTTTTGGCCCTGGCCGCTGGGTGGCGCAGAGTTTCAAGGAAAGAAAAAATAAGTGCATCATATCCAGGAAATTATGTCAGGATCGAACAGTTTTGCCCAGCTGGGGAAGGCAAGGAAACCACAGCAGGGAAAGTGCCAGCCTCAGGGCTGCAGCTTTCAGATTCCATTTGGGTGGCTGGTGGGGGCTGGCCAGAGCCCAAACCCCCATGGCCCTCACCCTGCCGCTGCTGCGACGAGCCCACCGGCCACGAGCTGGGCTGGGGCACAAAGCTCCACGGCCGAAGCCCTGATGGCAATGCCAAGCAGGCAGCCATGAAGCAGCACCAGCAAGCTCCAGGCAGGGGTTTTCTTTGCAACAGCTCCGGCAGCCTGACTGTGTCAGGGGGCTGCAGAGCTGCTCCGTGCCCAGACAGCCCAGCCCAGCTCAGGTGGCACACACTTCCCCAGCCACTGCTGTTATTGCTGGCAGCAAAACACTGCCAGGAGTCAAATCTCAACTTATCCCCAGCGTTGCTGTGATGCCGCTGCTCGCCCTGCTCCACCAGTGCACGGATACAGCGTTAGCTCCCAAGCGCTGTGGCTGGAGACCTGATGGAACCAGGTGGATGAAGGCTGCTCCAGCCTCCCTGCACTCGCTGGGAACCTTCTGGAAAGCATCTGTTTTCAATTTCTCCTTGTCTTTAAGGAAATTACTCACACGAATGACCAGCCTGGTATGGTCCAATTTCCTTCATTTGCCATCCCCATTGCCACTGTGGTGCGTGGACGGGCCCTAGGGGCTGCAGGAAGATTTTCCCCATGAGATGAGGTGACTTCCAGGGAACTGAGCCCTCTGGCACAAGCAGCCTCACCCCCACGGGTGCCCATCTCTGGGGTCTGGCCAGGGCCGAAGGACAGGGCTAAACCCCCAAGCACCTCTCCATCTGCAGCCGCGCCTGTTTAACCCCTTGGTCCATATGGGAAAAAAACAAACCAACCCCCCCCAAACCCCCCAAACCCAACCTTTCACCCATTACCAGCCTGCACCTGCCTTCATCCCTGCCTCAATCTGCATCCCACTGGGCTGGCAGCTGCCCAGGGCATCCTCAAACCCCATGCCCAGGCATGGGTCACTTCATCTTGGCGGGGGGAGCTGCGGGATCAGCCTTGGCCCTTCAGGTTTCCCTGCCCTCCCAGGGCCTCCTGGACTATTCCCGGGTCCCCGCAGGGATATGAAGCCCTGATGTGACCCCTCTTTTCTCCTGCAGGATTTACATGATCTCACTCCAGCTCCAGGTCAGAACAGGGTGTTTTATTAAACTCGTCAAAGGTTGTACAGCAGTGTGGAGGGGGTGACGGCAAGGGAGGGGATGGAGCCAGCTCTATAATTTGAGTCGAGAACATACAGATAGTTATAAGATGCAAATAAATAGAGCTTTTGGGGAAGGCAGCTTCATGTGGAGGTGCTGGTCAACTCCTTCCTCCGCTGGTACTGCTGGAACCAGCCCTCCTCCGGGTCTATGCAGAACTTTCTCCCCTTCAGCAGCTCCACACTGGGGAAGAGAGAGGGGCTGCATTAGCTGGGGGGATGCAGGATCCAGTCGTGCCCTGGGGTACCCCCACCAGCCTGGGGATGCCTATAGCATCCTGCCCCCTGCGTCCCTCAAAAGTGCTGACTTTTAGCAATATCTGAAACCTCAGCTTACTTCCCTTTTTGCTGGCTGGCAGCTGAAATGGGGGGTTTGGGGCTCTTTGGGATGAAGCACTGAGGACGGGGGTGCATGTGAAGAGCCAGGGCAGGGCACCCCACCCATGACACCCTTTGGGGGTGGCTTGTTTTGGGGGAGCCTCAAAGGCAGAACAACCGGTAGGGAAGGTGGGTGAGGGAGGGTGAGGAGCCAGGTGCGGGGGAGGAAGGCTGGGTGGGGACTGGGCATACTCACCGCACAGCCTTGCGGGAGCAGTAGGGAGGCGTCTTCTGGTAGCTCCTGATGAGGGAGTCAGGGATTTTCTGATGAACAAACATCTCTTTGTAGCAGCACTTGTTGTAGAAGCTGCGAACTGAGAGGAGATGAGAGGGGTTGGTGCTCTCCCATGCTTGGCACAAAAGGTGTGGGTGCTGCCCTGGGGATTCTCCTACTCCCCCCGCCCCAAGGGGTCCCCTCTCACATCCCTGGCAGTGCTGCTTTGCCCCAGGGCGGGAGCCCCCCATTTCCCTGCCTGTGGGGGTCTATTACTGAGCTCCCCAGCTGGGATGCTGGGGCTAAAGCCATCCCCAAGACTATTTTTGCTCCTTTTGAACAGAAGTGGGAGAGTCCAGCATTCAGGCATCTGGTGATGCCCCTCAGCCCCCCAAACCCATGGCAGCAGTAGGAGTTGAAGCTCTTGTCTCTCTCCCAAACCCCTCAAAACCCCATCAGCGGAGGAGCCAGGGACAGCACAAGGGCAGCCATGGGGAAAGGCTTGGTGTTGGTACTTACAGGAGACACCCTGGCTTCCAGTCCAGAGAGCTGCCAGCAGCAGGGTGAGCAGGGCCAAGGAGAAGACTTTCATGTCCAACCTGGGGCTTGGTCAGCTCCAGCAGCCAGCAGCTCTTGCTGACTCAGGGCCACCAAGAGCTACCTGCCTTTCCTGCCTGCACATCAGCGTAATATACCCCCCAGCCAGGCTTTCCATGACAGCTCTGGACTCTCCCGGTGGAAAGAACTGCCCAGAGATATTGATAAAGCGCAACCAGTGAATGGAAATTCCTTCTCTCAGCCCCTCCGACCACTGTGGTACCTGAGGGCTGCTGGAAAGTGTAGCAAGCAGCCTCCAGCTCTGCACTGCTGGTTATGCACTGAGGCCAGCAGTCTATTTTGGGTTTGGTTGTTGCTGCTGGCAAACCACACAGGATGATGCTCGTGCTTGCTGAAGCTGTTGTCAGCTCAGCTGCGATGCCTCTCTTGCAATTTGGTACCAGGGTGAGTGGCTCGATGATGTCTGGGCTTGCCCCAGCCCACCCTGAGACCCATTGCTGTGTGCCCATTCTGGTGGCTGTGCCCAGCACAGTGCCTGTCACAGGGGCAGCGTCCATCACATCTCCTCGTGGCATCCCAGGAGCGTCGGCTGTCAGTGGGGCCTGCCCAGGCATCCCCAGGGAGCGGCTCTGATCGAATTTGGGCCAGGGGTCTCCACTCATTAGGATGGCTGACGAGGAGTACAGCAAGTCCCCTCCTCACAGGCTGTGCCTGCCTCTTGCCCCTCGCCCCTCTCACTGGCGGCTTCCCCAAAGCCCACATGGACATTGTTTGGCCCCATGCACCCCCCCACACCCCCTCACAGAGATGTGGTTGGGGCTTTGGCTCTTCCCAGCTCCTTACTGACCTCAGCGGTTACAGATGCACTTCAACACCCAGGTAGGAAAGCCAGCAGCAGGACCTGCCTGCTCCCAAGACACTTGCACAGCCAGATACTTGCATGCATGAGACCATGTTTAATTCTGTTCAGTGTGTCGTACAAAAAATAACCGTGGAGCTTCTCCCCATTAACCCCTCTGCTGCTGCCAGACTGGTGAATGGAGCCTCACTGACACGCTGCTGCTGCCTGCAGGGGTACAGCCAGCTGCCTGTGTGCAAAGCAGGACTGAGAGCATGGGGTCTGTCAGCGGGTCTGGACCCCAACACCCCATGGGGCCAGCACGCTCCATCCCTATGGGACGCCAGGGATGGCAAAAGCCCTTTGCCTTCAGGGAGGTGGTCAGTGGGGTCACAGCATGATGGCGAGGATGTCCCTGATGAGCTGCTCTATCCAAATGTGGTGTCCCCGCAGCCAGCTCTGCAAAGGGGTTGCCTTCACAGTGTCCCATCCCCCATGGCCTCCAGCCACTCCACTAACTGGGGATGGAGAAGGTGCTGACTCGGAAGGTCTGCTGGTAGCTCTTCACCCAGGCCCTGCTCGCCTGGGCACAGATCTCCTTCCCGCTCCTTACCCTGAAGCTGGGGCAGAGAGAAGATGGGGTTAGTGGGGAAGATGGGGACCCCAGCGCTGAGTTTCCAAGGGGCTCGGAGGCACAGAGGCTGAGGGTTGGACCCATCAAAGCAAGGCATGGGGTCTGGTGGGGTCTGGCAGGGTCTAGAGGGGCTTTACCCTACTCCAGGTCTGGGTTTAGGGTACTCACATCACAGCCTGGTGCGGGCACTCGGGGCTGGTGGGGTAGCAGGAGACGACGTTGTCTCTCTTGATCCTTCTCACCTGGAAGTTGAAGCAGCACTTGTCCGGCATGGCTGGGGCTCCTGGGGGAAAAGCATGAGCTTGGCCTAACCTGGAGACCCCAACCTCCCATCTCAGCCCTCCCATTTTGGGCACGGCAGCATTTTGTGGGGAGCCCTCCTGCATCCCATGCACAAAGCAAACCTGTCCCCATGGCCCTGGGGGCTGTCCCTGTCCCCCAACCCACAGGGACAGAGGAGGAGGCAGTGCTTACTCTGAGCCAGGCTCTGGCAGCACAGTGTGGCGAGGAGGAGGAGGAGGGTGCAGACCACCCCAGGTGCCTTCGCCATGCCTGGCTGCAGGAGGGCTGCTCAGTAGCGCTGGGGCAGAGTTGCCGTCTGCTGGAGCCAGGGCTGCTGGGCTGCTTTTATGGGGGAGCATCTGGCCTGGCTTCCCCCAGGGCCAGCAGTTGTGTGGGCAGGGGGAGGATCTGGTCCCCCGCCATGTCCCAAAGCACAGCGGGTGAGCAACACTCATCTGCTCCCAGCACAGCCCCAGGAAGGAAAAAACCTGCTCCTGGGTCATGCTTTTGACCCCCGATGGACTTGGGATTTTTCCTGAGCTCCTGCCTCCAGCAGTAAGGCTGGTGGCTTGTTTGCTCCCACAGTTTGGCTCCGCACTTCCATCCCCTATGCAGGCTGCATGACCCATGGCAGGAGCCCCAGGGCGGGCAAGAGGGTCTGGGGATCTCCCTTGGATGGGACTAGGGCTGGGCTCAGCACCCTGCAGGGTCACCAGCAGTCGCACACACTCCTGACAGTCCATGTCCTCCCCCTCCACCACAAAGTTTTGCATCCTGTTGCTTTGTGTCCTGTCCCAGGGGACAAATGGCCAAATAACACCCCCTCCCCTAAAAAAGCCATAGGGAAACAGCTTCTGTTTGGTTGCACCAGGCACATAAATGTGTCTGTCTGTGCTGGTTTTGGGGGTGTTTGGGGCCCGTCAGGGCTGGGAGAGGCTGAGCAAGTGGCTCTACTTCCCTCCCCCCAGCACCAAAGCAGCAGCTCATGTTCTTGGCCTCGTTAAGCTGGGAAAGGCAGAGGCCGATTTGGGGCTTCTCCAGTGAATTTTGCCTGGTGGCAGCTGTCCAAAGACCCCCCTTTCCCCCCAGCCCCAGCAAATCCCAGGGTGCACCCCAGCTGCTGGCAGCTGGCGGATAGTGGGAAGCAGTGGCGAAATGCAGACGTGCATCCTTGCCAGCCCAGCTGTGTGAGCCATCACATCCCATTGTGCGGTGCTGGGGATGCTGATGGCACCCTGCCGGCGTTTGGGCCACCCTGGGCTGAAGTGCAGCCCCACCATGGAGACCCGGTTGGAGAGGGCATGGGGTGCTGGTCCAGGCAGGGACCTGCCCTGATGGGAACAGGGGCCATCTCCACTATGGGACTGCGTGTGTCCCTCCATTTGCTCTTCTCCAAAGCCATTTCCCAGAAATCAGCCTCATTTTTCGGGGGGCGCACATGTTGGATAACAGTGGGGAGCAGCAAGAAGGTCTGGGTGATGCCCCGGGGCTGGTGGGTGCAGACAAGGGGGGATTCATTTTTCCATGCCCCACTGGTGGAGCAGAGCATCTGCCCGCCATCACCCCAACTCCCATTTAATCTCTCCTCGGGGAGATCCCGGGGAGCAGAGGAAAGCAGATGCCTCTGGCCCCAGTCCGGTGCAGCTGCATGGCTCGCCTTTCCCTTCCTGGAACCATCCTTTCCCTCTTATCCCTCTTCTTACCCCCATGCACCGAGGAGCTCCTGGCCCAGCTGGGGTAAACATGGCCTCCTAAGGGTAGAAAATATTCCCTGCACTAAGAAAATTAAACAGAAGCACAAGGAAAACAAAAGAGGATTTATTGGACTGGGAAAGGTCCCTTTTAAAGACTGCCACGCAAAATGGTGGGATACGTCAGGCTGGGGAATTCCAGGGATGACGTTCCCAGCACCTGCAGCGTCCCTCCGTCCTGAGCCGTGGTGCTGACGTCTGCCCCATGGTATGAGCGGACCCTGCAGATGGGGGATTTTGGAGCATGGGGGATTTTCAGCCCTATTTGAGCCAGGGATGTGCACAGGCGCTCAGAGGGGCCAGAGGCAAAACCAGGTGCTCCTGCAGCCCTTGATGAATTTAGGAGAAACTGGTCTTCACCCCCCTCCAGCTTATCAGCCCTCCTGTGTTTGATGCAGAGAAGAGCACAGGATGCGGACAGACCCACTGCTGTGATGAGCTGAGCCAGTCTCTGCTCTGGGGTGGCCCTGTGAGTCCCCCCGGGTCTCGCATGTGGTCTGAGCTGAAAAACACCCATTTTCTCCCTTTCTTCCCCTGTTTCATGGAGGGCTCCTTGCCAGTACTCACAGCTGTGGCTCTGGGCTTGGCTGCAGAGCATGGCGAGGAGCAGAGCACCAGGGAACAGGCCACCAGCCTCCATCTCCACCTGCCCCCTCTCCCAGGGCTGCGGTGTGGAGTTCTGGGACTCCCCCAGCCCCAACTTTTACCACCCTTGCTCACCTGGAAATCCCACAACTGGGAAAATCCAACTGAGAAATGCAGGGGATACAGATGGGATACCCCAGGAAGAGCTGCCTCATCCATTACATCCTTCCCACCACCCCTGGTGTGGTGGAAGCATTGGGGGGTGGGGGAGAAGGGCTGAGCCCCACAGCAGGGGTTGGGAGGCATTGGCACCTGCAAAACATGTGGGACAGGTCCTGCTCCTGCTGCTGAGAAGCACAGGGGAAGGTGGCCAATCTGGGGGCTGGCCAAGGCATTTGTGACCCTGCTAGGGCTGAGTTCTCATTGCCGCCTCCAAAATATTTGCAGGGGGTCCAAATCTCTTACTGCTGTGGGGGGACAAGGATGTTCAGATCCCACCAGCCCCAGGGGAGCAGCAGTGGGTGCTGAGGCCCCAGCCGCCCCACAGCGGGCATTGCTCCCCACGCTTCTCTGCATCAGAAAGTGCAAGCAGCTCCTGGGGAAACCACCACCTCTGCTGAGAGTATGGCGATGTTTAATCACCCTCTGGGCTCAGAACTGGCCCCAGCCTCGTCTCACGGAGTGCTGCACTGCTGGGGCTGCCAGAGAGCTCTGCCAGGCGTGCAGGGACTCCTGCTCAGCGGCACAGACTCCCTGGAAACGCTGCTTGCCCCTGGGTGAGAGTTCCCCTTTTCCAGACACGTTTACAGATGCTTTATTGATGCTGTAGCGCTTCTCCTCATTTCAGCTGATCAATAACCCCAAAGGAGGAAGATTTAAGTGCAGTGCCCACGGGATGGGACAGCTGCTGCAGCTGGTGCAGGCAAAGCCATGAATGTGATCAA